AATACGGTACACTCCGAACCTCTAGCATACATGTATGAAGCTGACTATGATACAATGTACGGACCAGAATTATGAAATACAACATTCTTAATTATGTTCAGTCCAGAGTGGATCGTTCAACCATCGAAAAGTATGTCTTCTACTGTGTCCAACGTGATAACAGATGCAACTAGATGGTTCATGTATTGAAAATAAATAGGAAAAACAATATTTGGGAACTAACGGTATAAAACGATCCTCACACTTGATGTGTTGGAGGGATCAACCAGGATCATCCCAACTTGGACCCTGACATTAACTGTGAAGTCATCATGGCTATGGTCAAAACAAGCTCCATATAGCTATTGCGGTGTTGATTTCTGCTATACAGTCGTAATATGGGTATACCGTCTCATACAGGAAAGCATGGAAGGCAAAGAATAATGCCATTAAAAAACTTCACGACGAATGGGATGCATCTTATAATGAACTACCAATTTGGTTTAGGGTTGTGTAAGATTGAATCTTGGGACCATTGTCGACTTCGAAACTTTTCATGCATACCACAATGATCGAGTGCTTCACGATCAATTCCAATTCTACCGGCTTTTTTTGGACTTACCCACAATGCATTAATGATGTGAAATACTGCAAGCCCGTCCAAATTGATGGGGCATTCTTGTATAGAAAATACAAGTAAGTTTTACTATTAGCAGTTGTCCAAAATGATAATCACAACATTCTTCCAGCCGCTTTTTCCCTTGTTGAAGGAGAAGATACAGATTTTTATGTTTTCCCTCAGAAACATACTCTTACATGTTCTCACGAGGGAAAAAATATGTGTCATTTCAAATCGCGGAGCTAGGATCAAAGTATCAATGGATTATTTGGGTTCAATGTGGCAACCACCCCATGTCCAACATTAGTATTATATCTGACACATTGCTGCTAACTATCATGGAAAGTTCAAGAAGAATAATGAGCATCAATTATTGTGTGCATAGGTATGTCAAAATGCTGCATTTTATTTCTCAATCATTTTCATTTTTTTAACTTAACAGTACGTTATATATTTGATGCTCATGTTACAAACTATTACCTGAAACATTTGACTCCATGCTTTAAGATTTGCGAGAAAAGAACAAGAAAGAGGATACAATTATATCAGCCTTATTAATAAATAAATGTGCATAAATACCTATGATGGGGATATCGATATGGATATATGACGACCAACTTGGCTGAGTCTATCAATTCGACCTTAAAGGGAGCACGTCATTTATCAGTAACGGATTTGGTTAAAATGACGTATTTTAATTTGGGAGTGTTTTTTGCCAAGCTCAAGGGATAGGCTCAAACTTGGATGCAAAACGGTCATGTCTATTACCCAAGATTAGGTACAGATATACAAAAAAAGAATTGTTGCATCAAATGGAATGTCTGTAACAATATTCTCTAGAACCCATGAATTACTTCGTGTCACATAGATATGCGACCTCTTCAAGGGATTCAAGCTAACTCGTTCACAGTTAATCTACGAGATAAATAGTGTGATTGTGGGTTTTTTCAAGCTTTGAAGTATCCATGCTCCCATGTCATAACAACTTCTTCTCATACCTGTCAAGACTATAACCATTTTGTAGATCCCGTATAACGACTTTCAGAAGTTTTTAAGGTATATGAATTTGAATTCCCCCATAGGTAAAGAGAAAGACCCTGATGAGGTTCAGAATTGGCTTTCGATTGTACCAAATCTGTCCTTATTGAGGGATCTCGGTGGTCCAAAATCCACTCTAATTCATTGTGATATGAATATTCGGGACACATCCAGAGAAAATAAAAGATGTGGGCATTGTAGAAACCTAGAACACAATAGGAAAAAATATTCATCTCTTTTGTCATTAAGTAATCGTTGATGATGTAGTTGTTGTTTATGAAATCTAAGTTTCTGTTATTTAATTTTCATTTACTTACAGTTAATGTCATTTGAGCATCACCGAGTAATGGGCTACTCAAATGAAAATTAAATAAAAACATTACAAACTAAATACAAGAAAACGATACAACTCAAACAATAAAAAAAACTAAATGATAAAAATAATTCGAACAATTAAATAATAAATACTAAACCCTAAACAAAATAAATAAAAAGTCCATAATTAAATAAAAACTTTACAATTGCTCGTAAAAAACAAAATTAAATAAAAACATGATGAACTAAACAATTCTATCGATGCCTGCGCCTTGAATATGTTCCACAAGACGGTGGTTGTCTGTGTCGATGAGGATTTCTTCGTATAACTTGTTCTTCCTCATCACTCTCATCATCATCATCATCAGGAGCATATATATTTTGTTGATGAGGGACGAATGATGATGTAGCACCTTCATAGAATAAGTACCCTAAAAGTGTATGGTTAATTATCCCACCGCTCACAGAAAATTGTGAAAATTACGAAAACACCAACATCGATGAGTGCGAAAATTATATCGGAGATGTTTGTATATGCGGTGAACCTTCAATCGCCTAATAACCAGCATATAAACCCCAAGTTGGATCTGCAAGCTTGAAATTATAATATCTGCCATGAGGGGACATAAAACTCTGCGACGGTGGCGGCATTTGGTATGGAGGCAATGGCGTCTGAACTAGCTGCAGTGGCATATGAAATGGTTGTGGTGTCATCTGATATGGCTGCGATGCCATTTGAAACGGCTGCAGAATGTACATTGGTGTAGACAATGGCTATGTGATGGTTTCGGTGCTGCAGTTGAGGACGAGCCAGAAGCGCCTGCTCTCCATCCACGAGTCGAATGACGATGATGTTGTGACGATGGACATCTTTGTCGATGCCGATGAATGCTCCCGCCTCGTGCTTTCTTGGGAAGTAGGAACATTTTCCCGTTCATGTTGAACCATTCATAATAATCATATGCAACTGAGTAATTATCCACTTAAATAGGTTCCTTACGGGGAATACGCCCATGTTTATCCTCCCATAACATTATCAACTCAATGTGCTTCAGTAGTTAGTCGACTTCTTTTTTGCCTAGTCTATCTATGATATGCATATCATCGATATTTTTAGGTGCTTCCGGAATAGATTGTACAAAACTAAATTGGAGGAGCACGCGATTAGTAGGATGCCACTCCATAATATCATAATATATCAGAGGGACCATCGCCATCCAAGCATCTAATAGGCTCTCAAGTGATGTGGGATGCAAATCCTCATTTCTTTAGTAGAATAAGGAGCCTATTGAAACTAAATATATATATAAATCTTATCGAAAAAATATTTATAAAACAATAATTAAAAGTAGATAATAATATTTAAATACATACATCTATACCAGCCTTTTGATCAATGAATAACCTAATTTCTTCCAATTATCAAGAAAATCTCGTTGATCTTTTCTTACACTTGACCACCTATTCAATGAAATAATTTTCATTATATACTCAACAAAATTATTTATATACGAAATCAAAATTAAAACCTCAATAATAGTGGGAAGACCAACAGGTTTTTTCACCATCGGACATAAAAAGGGAATGCAATGCCACGCCCAAGACTGGAAAAGAATGAGACATCCGTCGATAGCATTTTTTCAATAGTTAGTAGCTCGATACATTTCCCTATACAAAAATGCCAAAACTACCAAGCCCCAATTGAGTGTGCCAGCATGATGAAAATCTGTGAGGTATTGCAACCACATACAATGAACTTGGTTGTGCAATTTGTCAGGTATCATGATCCCTCTTATGAGTTGTAATATGCAAGCATGTGCATACATTTTAGCGTGCTCCTCGGAGACGTCGCAACACATGTTTAAAAGTTGTATCCAACCAATTTAACGGTATTCGACCACAATTGAAATACACCTCCAAGATACTCCTCGCACAAGGAATGACATTCACCATCCGCTACCCCAGAAATCACAGCCCTATCTAGAGGAAGGCCCATATGTATGGAAACGTCATCCAGCGTAATTGTGCACTCTCTACGCGGAAGATGGAATGTTTATGTCTCTGGTCTCCACCTCTCAACCAATGCGGATCATGAATCGCGCCTTCCGTACGTGTTAGAAACCCCGTAGATATCTGCATCTTTCCTTACGTGGCGCCAACTCGAACAGAACCCTGCGAAGGTGTGGATGACGATTTGCCCTTTCCTTACGTTATGCCAGCTCGGACAGAACCCCTCCAAGATACAGAACCCCTCCAAGATACGGATGGCGATCCGTGCTATATTACCACTATGTGAGAAAGGGTGCTAGATCGATAATATTAGGGGTGAGGATACCTGACAGGTAATTATTGGTGGTACGGGTGAAATTTATGTAAAAAGGTTATAAAATAAAGAAAGAGAAAAATCAAAGCTTTGGCGTTGATTGCATAGGAATAGGGTATTTGGTGGAACTTTTCAAAAGACTTTGTTTTGGCTGTGGCCAAGTTGGGGAATTCATTAAATTCCTGGTTTGCCCTTTTTATGTCCACCACCTGCAAGAAAAACAACACACACCCATCACCCACAATAGTAAACCCCCCAATTTAACCCCTTCTTCCCCAAAAACTAGAAACAAAATATCCCCAAATAATAATCATTTTTTTATAATATAAAAATTATTATGAAATTTTAAAAGGAAAAGGGAAAGAAGCAGACATAGACAAACAAAACCCCAACAACGAAAAAGAGAAATAAAGAAATTGGTTGGAAATGAAATTAATCAAAATAAATTAAAGGGCTCAAACATGAAAGAGATACCAAAACTATTACCTTTTAAGGAGCGTGAGCTTTACTCTCCAATCACCTGTTCGTGACAACCAGTCAGGTAGTAAATGTTTTCGTACATTGGACTCTCGCCTTACCTCATTGCTCCAGTTTACAACCAGCCATCAACGTCTTCCTCTTCCCTGTCTCTCCCACGCTCACCTAGACGGCGCGTCAGTACAATACTCACCCCTTCTTTTTATCGTGTTCTCTTTATTTCTCCCTTACCCTACGACCCTACCCATTTCACGTCACTTTTTCTCTATTTTACTTTGAAATTTCTTCTGCTAAAGAAAAAAAAAAGACCCAATAACTAAAACTGCGTGGAAAGTCGCCGGGAAGTCAAGATCCGGCCAGTGCCGGCGGATTTGCCCGGATAAATGCGAGAACCCATAAGATGCCGTCGTTTTGATAATCCAGGGGAACGAGGAGGAGAGGAAGGAAAATGATGACAAAAACAACGACACCAACAGCAACAAAGACAAAGACAAAGACAAGAAGTAGAATTTTTCTGTGAAGCTCAGAAAAGTGTTGCCAAATCTTCCATCTTTATTTTTTCTTTTTAACTATCTCTGCAATGGCTGCCACAACTAATACAACCACCACCCCGGTGGACTCAGCCTCGGCCGATGAGTTAGCAGCTAAGGCCTTGCTCAAAAGGTACGATGGGTTAGTCATGGTTCGAACAAAGGCTATCAAAGGTAAAGGAGCTTGGTACTGGGCTCATCTCGAGCCCATACTCGTTCACAACACCGATAACGGACTCCCCAAAGCTGTGAAGCTCCGGTGTTCTTTATGCGACGCCGTTTTCTCAGCTTCCAATCCTTCGAGAACAGCTTCGGAGCATCTAAAGCGGGGAACATGTCCCAACTTCAACTCTCTTGCTAAACCCATTTCATCTGTTTCTCCATCTCGGACGACGGTGGCAACACCAACCGCAACTAAAAGCAGTAGAAAACGAAGTGCACCTTCGGTTACTGTAACCGCCACTGGCGGTGTCCTTGTTGCATCTGGTTCTGGTTCAGTTTCGGGTTCGGGTTGTTCTTATCAGGTTACACCGTTGGCTATTTTTGATCCTTCAAGGTTATGTGGGGAATTAGCTTACTCTCCGTCGCCTGGGGCGGTTGTGACGCCGAGTGGTGGAAATTTGTTACCACAACACCAGCAACATTTGGTTTTGTCAGGAGGGAGAGAGGATTTGGGTGCTTTGGCTATGTTGGAAGATAGTGTAAAGAAGCTAAAAAGTCCTAAAGCATCATCTGCGCCAACTTTAAGCAAGTCCCGGATTGAGTGTGCGGTTGGTTTTCTAGCTGATTGGATTTATGAGTGTTGTGGGTCGGTTTCATTTTCGAGTCTCGAACATCCAAAGTTCAGAGCTTTTCTTAATCAGGTTGGCTTTCCACCGGTTTCAACAAGGGAGCTTGTTGGGAGTAGATTGGATGTTAAGTACGAGGAATTGAAAGCTGAATCCGAGGCAAGGATTCGAGACGCCATGTTCTTTCAGGTTGCAGCTGATGGGTGGAAAGTAAAGAGCTTTCCCAGTGGAGAAGATAGGTTGGTGAATTTGACCGTGAATTTGCCTAATGGGACTAGTTTGTATAGAAGAGCAGTTTTTCTCACTGGTTCAGTTCCTTCTACATATGCAGAGGAGGTGTTGTGGGAGACGATAACGGGAATTTGTGGGAATGCCGTGCAGCAATGTGCAGGAGTTGTTGCTGACAAGTTCAAGGCTAAAGCATTGAGGAATTTGGAGAATCAGCATCATTGGATGGTTAATCTTTCTTGCCAATTTCAGGGTTTTAATAGTTTGATTAAGGACTTCAGCAAGGAGCTTCCTTTGTTCAAGTCAGTGACGGAAAATGCCCTGAAGCTCGCTAATTTCATAAACGACACGAGTCAAATTCGGAGTAGTTTTCAGAAGTATCAGCTGCAAGAGTATGGGAGTTTCAGGTTATTGAGAGTGCCCTTGCGTGATCATGAAAGCTTGAATTTGGGACCTGCGTATACAATGGTTGAAGATATACTCAACTCCGCTCAGGCACTTCAGTTGGTTTTGCTTGATGAAACATATAAGATGTTATCCATGGAGGATCCACTTGCCATGGAAGTTGCAGAGATGATTCGAGACATGGGGTTTTGGAATGACTTAGAAGCAGTACATTCATTGGTTAAACTGATCAAAGAAATGGCTTATGAGATTGAGACCGAAAGACCACTAGTTGGGCAATGCCTGCCACTTTGGGATGATCTTAGAACAAAGGTGAAGGATTGGTGTTCAAAGTATCAGATTGCAGAAGCTCCAGTAGAGAAAGTGATCGAAAGGCGGTTCAAGAAGAACTATCACCCTGCTTGGGCTGCTGCGTACATACTTGATCCACTTTATTTGATTAAGGACATGAGCGGGAAGTACCTTCCCCCATTCAAATGCTTGACACCTGAGCAAGAAAAGGATGTCGATAAGCTTATAACCAGGCTTGTATCCAGGGAGGAAGCTCATATTGTTCTTATGGAACTTATGAAATGGAGAACAGAAGGGCTTGATCCCGTATATGCACGAGCTGTGCAGATGAAGGAGAGCGATCCGATCACGGGGAAAATGAAAATTGTTAATCCGCAGAGCAGTAGGCTTGTGTGGGAAACTTATCTTACCGAGTTCAAGTTCCTAGGAAAAGTTGCAGTTAGGCTTATTTTTCTCCATGCAACTTCATGTGGATTCAAATGCAGTTGGTCTTTGTTGAGATGGATGGCTGCACATGGACATTCAAGGGTAAGCATGGAAAGGGCTCAAAAGTTGATATTTATCGCAGCACACAACAAGCTCGAAAGGCGCAATTTTTCCAGCGATGAAGAGAAGGATGCAGAGCTGTTCGCTTTGGCACATGGTGAGGATGACGTGCTGAATGAGGTTCTAGTTGAAACATCCTCAGTTTGATATTTTCCTCAACTTCCCCCCCCCCCCATTTCTTTAGAAATTTGAAAATTTGTAGGATTTTTTAAATACATTTTACCAGTTTTACTTATGTTAGATGATTTTGGGAGAGTCAGGTGGGAGGAAGAGGGAATTCATTGGGGTTAAACACTGTGTTCCTACCACTGCTGAGCCTCACAGTTTGAGCATTTTCCGATCTTTTACCGTAGGTTGATTTTGGGGCCTTTGAATTTGCATCAGGGGAGTCTTCTTGTTTGTTAAGATAGAGAATGCTGCTTGAATAGAATTTCAAGAACAGGAAGAACATTGTAAATTTTTTTCCTCTAGCATTTTTTATAAGAAATAATATCTATAAAGGGGAAAGATTTATGATTTCTCTTTTGCTTCATAACATGACTTCAAATTTTCTTTTGAGCTTTACAAACAGGTCACATGCTTAGACATGAAGCACATTTTTTATCTAATTCGGTTTATGTGCTATATTTCTCGTCTAGGTTGATTCACCATTCTAGTGTTCATGAAATAATTTACCTCTGTCTGAAAAAGCTTGTAACATTGTTTCTTTATTTAGATCTTCATGTGGAACTCAAACCTTTGTTAATTATATAATGAACGGCTGGTCCCTTGTTTCCAATATTTATTTGAATTGTGGATCCTTTGTATGATCATCTCATTTCCTTCGTAAACGAGCTTGAACAACACTCTTTCTTCGTTCGAGTTCACGCATGTCCAATTTTGCTATCATTTGTGCTTTGAGTTCATGAGAAATAGATTGTGGGAAGGTTTCTCCTGAAAAACCTTTCACTATTTCTGGTCTTTGCTATTTCGACTTTAACTTTGGATTGTCCATCATATGTGCCTGCAGAAGAACTTTCCGGTTTCCACTAACTGTAGTTTGAATGAAGTTCCGAGCTTAGGTTCTTCTCATAGCCGGAACAGGTAAATTGTTGTGCTTCGAATGTCTGTTGTGTTTGGTTTTTGTAACTTGTGAGGCAAGCAACCATTCTTTCGGTAGGTCGAGAACTACTTTGAAACTAGATAGGTCCATTTCTGGGTGAAAACTAAACTATTTGAAGCATATGTTTGAAAACATTGATAAGATCAATCATTGTAAGTTTGAACATGAAACCAGCAATGAAATTGTTTTAGTTGTACTGATGTCATTTTTGGTTGGCAGAAGCAGGTGATAAAGATATTGTCGGACCGGAGAGACCACCGTAAAAGTATGATGCGTTACGATTGTTGGATCATGATTAGAGAGGGAATTTGGCTGAAGGATCCAAGGATGTGAAGCTTTTGACAGAGAGGTACGCCTGTCATGAGCCATTTCAGTGGAGGGCAAAGCACTGCTCAACAGGGTGGGTCAGCTAACCTCGGAAGGACATGAAGACCAGACCATTCTAGCTGGAGAATCACTTCTAACTGTTTCCATCTTATCTTACAAATCTCCTGTTTTTTTGCCTTTGGGAGATTAGACTGCCCCACCATGAATGAAGTGCAAGTCCTTTTCTAAAGCTTTGGTTGTTTTTTCCCCCTCATAAAATAAAATCATCTTGGGGTATGATGTTCATGCATACCAATTGACTGATTCACCGGTCACCACCACCACCACCACGAGTCCGATTCATCTGTAAATTAAGCTGGTAACTGAAGCATGAACTTGTAGATTTCATGGTCCAGGAAAAATGAAAACAAAAAGAAACGGCTGAGTGAGAGCATACAACATGCGGATGTGTCAAAAAGAGGAAAAGAAAGTGAAAAGGGAGAAAGGCATTGAATTGCAAATAAATATATGGGTTATATATTAGCAGGGGAAAGCAGGCAGATAAGTAGTGAATTGACAATGGCAGGTCATCAACCATTGCACTTTCTTCCAATTATAGTAAGCCATCACTGTTTGAATGTTGGAACCCTTCATGGAAACCAAATATAGATTATTCAAGAAAAATATCAGCAGCTTTCCATTTTTTCTTCTTTTGTTCATTCTCAATCATAAAAGAAAAAGGAAAAAAAAAGAAAGAAGTATAACTTTAAACTATCCCTTTTGGCTTAAAGCCTGGATGGAATTAGATTCACCCACCACCACCACCACCCACAGTTAAAACATACATACATGCATACATACATAATTCACCTTTCGAAAGAGGGTAAAAAAGTGGTGTGGTTCGAGGGTTTTGTCTTTTTTACCATTCTAAGAGATACAGAATTTGCTGTGGACAAGACTAGTAGTTTATTAATGCTGACTGCTCACCAAACTTAGCTACTACTAAATCTTTTTCTTTTTTTCCTGCTTTTTCTCATCGTATGGGTATCCTTTACTCCACTCGTTTTTGTGTTTGGTTAAAAGGAAATATAATGATTAGTATAGGACGACAGACGCTCTCTTTATACAAAGAATCTTTGCCACTACCAATGTTCATCATTCCATTTAACTTCTCACCATTTTCTTTTGAATTTTCCCTTCCACTACCATTTGCCAACCTCTCGTTCAACCATAATGCCAAATGCCAACTTCAGTCCATCCAAGGTTATCAAATTTATACGTTTTTTAATATTTTGACGTGATTATAAGATGGTATCGATTCAAAAAAAATTCAATCAATTGATAACGTACACACCCTACAGATATAACCGTTCATCCTAGCTGTTTAAACCCTACATTTTAAGGATAATAATATTTTCCTTTATCAAAGAAGTTACCATCAAAATTTATGTTATTTTAGCTACTACTGTTTTGTATACCATTGTTTTTGGAACCCTAGTTATTGTTGGTTCACAAGGTAATAGTATTATAGTAACCATATTGTTTCTATGGTATGTTAGATTTTACATGCACCCCAAAAGTTTCATATTCATGCTATTATTTTCACCCGTAACGATCTGATAATTTTAAAATTAATTCGAATAGTTTGAAATGATGCTCAATCATAATGGTTGAGGGATGCGTAGTTTTAGTGGTGGATTCAGAAATAGTCTTTTTAAAGTATATATATATATTAATCATATAAAATTTGTATATAAGGTGGATACAACTAAAATTTTCGAGTGAGAACAATTACTAAAATATATAATTATTAAAAAAATCGAATTTTAAGATTTACACGGCTCATCTTAAATTATTATTGTATCAGTCACCATGTAGTTCTCGATATATTACAACATGCATGAAAATTAATATTTTTCATTCGTAAATTTAAGGCATTTCATGAAAATATCATTGTGGAACATGTTCTTGAATCTCCTCACGATTAAAAGGTGAGACTAAATATGTAAGACGAGTAAAATAATCCCAATTAACATAACTATATTTAATTTCTCTATAGTTTTTTTTATTAAGTTAACGTGATTAAAATAATATATGTTTAAGTATTCTCAATTATTTGACAATAAACGCAATCATTCTGCTACTACAGCTGATGCTTGAATCCGTAACCTCTAGGAACAACAATGATTCCTTTAACCACTGAGATAAGTCGATTCGATAAAATCCCTTCTAATTTTAATGTGTATGTTGCTTTGGTTATTTTTACAAAACAATTAGTCTCTCTCCCTCCAGAGTAACCCAAAAAATATTAAAACATTTATTATGTACATCTAATTTATATCATTTACAAACTATACTTTGGCTTACTATCTAATTCAATTTGAAAATACTGTTACAAAAACAAAAGCAGCGCAGGATCTGTCTTCGCTGTAATGCTATTATTATTTGACAAAAGTCAAAAGTGACTGATATTATGTCACATCAGTACTAAAAGTCATTTCAAATTGATTTTTTATTAAAGAAACAAATGACTACAAATTAAATTAAGTAGTTTTTGATAAATTATATTGAATATATATTTAATTTTTACGTAAATTATTTTTCATTTATTTACAAAAATATTATACAAAGTATGAAAAGAAAAAAATATATCATAATTCTTATTTAAAAAATAATATAATTTATTTTGTTTTTCTTTCTTCTGTGTGCCTCTCATCTCTTTTCTATTTCGTCTTTGTTGATCGACGACGGTATCAATTTTAATATTGGTGATCGACTGTCGGTATTCTTTGTTGTCCTTTTCTTCTCTATATATATATTTTTTTTATTTCAATAAATCTGTCTGCATTGCACGTTTTCATATGTCTTTATGACACACTTTCTTATACTTTTTGACATATCAGTTATTTGGTTGTGTTTTCCTTTATTTTTTCTAATGGTTGATTTGACATCGCTACGATTGATCAAGATGTGCTTATTTGATTACGTGTTGATCTTTCTTTCTTTGGACACTCGAATTGGATTTGGATACCCGATTTGCGTTTGTGGATAGTTTTTCACGTCGATCGAGTCTGATTTACAGTTTGTCAGTGGTTTTTCAATAGCTTGATCTCCTTTTGTGATTCGTTCGCCAATGCGATCAGATCTGTTTGTATCTATCTTTGTTCGAATCTATTGGTTAGACTTAATCTTTCATTGTATGATCTTTATGTAATCTTAAGTTGCTAGTTTTGTTTCAATAACTATAAGAAATTTTTTTGATTATGTGTTTAATTTATAATTGTGATTATAAATCTTTATAATAATTTAAGATATTTTCTATTTTAATTAAAATTACTTACTTCTATAAAAAAATTATAGTTTAGAATTTTCAATTGAATTATTTCTTGAATAATTGATAATACTAATTTAATTAAAAAGTTTAACATATAATATAAATTAATATTCAAATATCACGATAGTATTATGAATTTCTACAACGTAGAAATTGAATAAGTGTGAGACGTATTTAAGCCTCTAAATTATTGTGACATTATTTTGTGAAAAGAAAAGAAAATATATTTTTACGGTTCATACTTCATAGTCACACACTCACACTCTTAGTTAGGGATGAGCATGGGTCGGATTGAGTCAGATTTTTGCTCCACCCGACCCGACCCGAGAATCAAAAAATTCTCCATCCGAGATCTGACCTGACCCGACTAAAACAATATTTTACCCAACCCGAACCTGATCCGATATATAACTTAAAAATCGACCCGACCCAAAATAATAATAAAAATATTATTTTTATTCAATAAAAACAATAAATTAATTGAAAAAATAATATATAGAGAGATATTATTGTAATTATTCCTAAATATATAAATAAAATTATATATATATTCGGGTCGGGTCGGGTCAAGTATTTTTCATCCTAAACCCAACTCAAATCTGATTTTTAAAAAAAAACCTGATCCAATGTGATCGAATTAAATCAAAACCTGTCGAATTCGGGTCGCATGCGCATTTCTATTCCTAGTCTTTAAAACGAATTTAATTATAGTCTAACTGTCAACCCCCAGTGTCTAATTAGAATCATTTTGCCTTAAACATTTTCAAATTTTACGCGGTAAAAGAATGCCCCACA